GAGGCCGGCTTCCGGGTTGGCGTATTCGAAGGGAGCCTTGTTTGGTGCTATATTGATATCGAGACATGGTTCCAAAGCGACCCGGATCGTCGGTCGCTCGTGACGATAATCGAAAGCTGCTCAGCCTCTGGCTCGACGATCCCGCCGTTCGTCATCATGACGGGCGTAAATATTAGCGGGAAACACGTTTATAACTCTCTCGACCCCAGGACGATACTCGCGACGAGCGAGAGCGGCTGGACCGACGATATCGTTGCACTCGAGTGGCTAGATCATTTCCTAGAGAACACCAAACCGTCAGCGCCTACTGACTACCGCTTATTGCTGATTGATAACCACGGATCTCACCTTACCTTTCCCTTCTGGCAAAAGTGCGAGCAGGCGAAGGTTATCCTTTTCCCTTTCCCTCCGCATACAACGCACAAGTTGCAGCCTCTCGACGTCGGGATTTTCTCCTCCTTCAAACGTGCGCATCAAACCGACCTTTTAAGGCAGACAGAGCTCGGCGCTTTCGACTACGATCGTCCGGAATTTCTCGACGGCCTTAAGAACATGCGCCGGCGCGCGTTCAAGGTTGCTACGGTGAAATCAGCGTGGTTGAAGTGCGGGCTTTGGCCTTTCAACCCTCAAGTTGTGCTTGATAACCTCGAGGATCCGTTAACTTCAGCTAAATCTGCGGCGGCAATGACGGAGAAAGTAGGGTATATACCTAATGCGACCGATCAAATCCGCCGGATCCAGCGCCGAGGTCAATTCCGCGCCTCTTTTTTTGACGACGACGATACTCTAAGGACGCCCTCGCCGGACCTGTTCGCCTTCAACTGGAAGGAGGCCAAGACTCCTTCGCTGGATCTAGCGGAGATTATTCCCTACGAGGACTGGCTTGAAGAACGCCTACTTGCTTCCGCCCGGTCGAACAGGCCGGTCTCGCCGACGATACTCCACGTCTTTGCGAAGATGAAGAAGGCTTCCCATGCCGCGATTCTCGCCGGCGCGAGAGCGATCGAGGAGCTCCGTCGGCGCGAGAAAGCTGAAGTCGAGCGAAAACAACGAGCCGCGTTGAACCGCTTGATCACGAGGGTCGGGCCTATCTCCGTCGACGACGCGCGCCTCCGGGCGATCAATAACGAGAACAACCGCCTCGCTTTAAAACGGAGGGAACGCCGGCGCCTGCGCGGGAAGGACCTCAAGTCGGAGTTGAAGATACTCAGGCTTTGGCTGAGAGAATACAAGCGGCAGGAGACCGACCGCCTTAGGCAACTGCGGGCGCGTATGCGATTGCAAAGGGCAAAGCGTAAAGAGATTACGGATCTCGTCGTCCCCCAAGAGACTGCCCTAAAGAACGAGGCCACGCTTCTTAGCAAGTACTGGCAACAACGCCGAGAGCGCGACGATCGGTTCCATGCCCTGCAGGAGGAGGCCTTGATTCTTGCACGCCTACAATCTGGCAGGGCAGAGGAGGACGTATTCCTTCCTCCAGATTGGCAGCCAGCCGAGGAACTTTCTCCCTACACGCCTTGGAGGCTTACCCAACGAGACGAGGGTACGGTCCGGAAACTTGTGCGAGCCTACTGGAAGGATAAGTACGGTGCAGATCTGCCTCCGGAGGTTGCTTTGCCAGGCAAATATTCACCAGAGGAGTACGAAGTATCATCGCCTGACTGCACAGATACAGAGGGAAGCGATAGTTCTACGTCAGAAGCGGCTGATCGCCGTGATCAAGACGAAAAAGACGCATTCGTTGACCTCTCCCTCGCCTGAATAGCTTCATTTTTACGTATCTGCAAAAATAAACTCGTTGGCAGGTTGCATTTGTAAGGGGCTTGGCGGGGGAGCCAACCCCTGCTTCATGCAGTTGAGCGTGTCATGCAGAAAAACGGCAATACACAGGTTCCAAGCCAATTTTCTATGGGTAAAAATGTCACTAAAATCCGACAGATTGCACAGAATCCGACAGATTGCCCGACCGCGCTAAATCCCCAAAGGGCCGATTTTCGCGGGTGCTTTTAACCCGCGCAAGTACTGGCTTTTGGAGCAGAGAAGCCGGTGCTTTCAATTCGGTGTGCACGCCGAACTCCGAAGCGGAGAAGCTTCCATGCGCGGGCGAAACTTCGTCAGCAAGGAGCTGCAGCTGTTTAGCATGCAGCACATGGTCCGTCCCCGCTGGCTGAGGAGTAAGCAGAAGCTGAACAGATACACACGGCGTTCTCGGCCAATGGTAGGTGTGCAGCCGTCACGCCCAAGCCAGCCGAGCTGCTTATTTGCCACGAAATCCGTGAAAGAATGGGGAAAGAGCGACAGCAGTTCCTCGTCGTCGGGCTGCGACACGGCAGTTTTGCTTTCCTCGAGGTTAACGTCGGTGGAGCATGGAGACGCCGTACACCAAAACGTCGGCTTGACACGCCCGCCACAGCAAACAGCACTGTGGACGATACTTGACTCCGTTGACGTTCAAGCGTGCCTTTGTTCGGGATCGTGCGCTGTCTCGCGTCGACGCGATTGGGACTATGGGACCAAGACGCTGCTGAAACAGTGCCGCTTCTCCGGACTCGACGCGACCAAACGCTGTGTTGATCTGCCGTGTCGGACTGACAAGATATGTCCGGAACATTTTATCAATTGCCGCGTTTCGCGCCACTCACTGCTCAGTTTTGCAGTAGAAAAATGACCGGCGCGACCACGGTGTTACTTGTTGCAGCCCTGAGCCAATAGGTAAAAATCATTGGCCGTGGGTGCGATGTGATGTGACGTGGCTTGCTTGATCACCCGCTCCAATTCCAGCGAGAGCTCCGACTGGCACCAATGTTTTCGTCCACACAGCAATTGTGCATTTCTCTGCCTCCCCGGGAATCGAGGTCGGGCTCTCACCATCCATCAGTATCCACGGGAGTATAGTGCTGCCTGCACCGTGCGAACAGCCCGGGAGGAGGCCAATTTGGGCCCCCCAGCTTTGAGGTTTGGAGTCGCTCGCTCCTGGCCCTCCACTCTGGGCTGTCAATGACTGGCTTTTGGGGCCCGAAGCAAAAAATTCGGCCAGGTTGTCTGCTGGCGGGAGGTGTGATTGCCACTATCTGCGGCTCCACAGACTCGCGCCTAGTCCGCGTCACAATCACTCTAACGAGTGATGGGAGACATCTGTCTGCGTCAGATCCGGGCAACTATTTGCAGAAATCGGGCGATTGTTGGGCAATGCATGCAGCTCTGTTGTGCGAGTTTGGGCATTGCCAATCACACCCCGAAAGCGCTTGCGGGACTGCAGCCGCCATCCGCTGTGAAGCAATCCGGAGGGAAATGGAGGGCGAGGGAGGATTTGGCACTTTAGCTGATTTACGATTGGCGCAGCTGCTCGGGTAACCTGTTTGGTGGATAGCTGCATCCTGTAGATATCGTCCGATATTCGCAGAGCCATGCAGATCTTCGATTAACAGCGCAAAGAATGAGGCCCGCCTGTTGGTGCAGTAGCTTCATCTGCAGACTTCGAAGCCTCGCCTTGCTCAGCCAGGATGGGTGTCTCTGCGTTCCCATATTTTGCGGGCAACTGAACCTGACGTATCGCTACCCTCCGGACGTGGCGCGGATTCTGGTGGCGAACCGCTGGCCTCATTGCCGGCGACACATGATTCGGGTCTGGAATGCTGCAGTGCCCTGCTCGGGCGGAGAAGTTGAGGGCATCCTGTTTCCAAATGCAGTCAGCTGCACTAGTTTGTAGCCCGGCTGTGGCTCTTGTCAAGGCGGTTAGACAAAGGGAGACCCTCCCGCCTCAATCAGGACTAGGATCCTGATTGCGATAGGGGTCTCATACACCCAGCGCGCACCGAGACAAGGCTGCAGTGCACGACAAGGCACGCCACGCCGTAACAGCTCTTATCAGGACAGCTCGGAGGGAATATACATCACCCACTATCACTCGATACCAAAACCGGTTCTATTCTGGCTTTTCAAGCTTCGAAAGTGGCTGGATGAGGTTTATGCTGGCAGAGACCTCGGAGTACGAAAAGCCGTTTCGAATCACTAGGAGACTTTTTCAAACAACAGTAACCTCGGACTGGAGCGATGGCAGACCTCGAAGAAGCCGTCCGAGTAGGACGAGAAGCCGTCGACGCCACCCCGCTGGATCATCCGGACCGCGCTGGGTGGTTAAGCAACCTCGGAGTTTGTCTTAGCGACAGATACTCTCGGACTGGGGCGATGGCAGACCTCGAAGAAGCCATCCGAGTAGGCAAAGAAGCTGTCGACGCCACCCCGCTGGATCATCCGGACCGCGCTGCACTGCTGAGCAACCTCGGAAATCATCTAGGCGACAGATACTCTCGGACTGGGGCGATGGCAAACCTCGAAGAAGCCATCCGAGTAGGCAAAACAGCCGTCGAAACCACCCCGCTGGATCATCCGGTCCGCGCTGGGTGGTTAAACAACCTCGGAAATTGTCTTAGCGACAAATACTCTCGGACTGGGGCGATGGCAGACCTCGAAGAAGCCATCCGAGTAGGACGAGAAGCCGTCGACGCCACCCCGCTGGATCATCCGGATCGCGCTGCACTGCTGAACAACCTCGGAGTTCGTTTAGGCGACAGGTACTTTCGGACTGGGGCGATGGCAGACCTCGAGGAAGCCAAAAAATTCTATTCTGCCGCCCTCCGTCACCCTACATCCGCTGTAAGCATACGAATCGCAGCTGGACGCCGTTTCCTATCATCTCCAGCCATTCTTAAAGATGAACAAGCATACGCCATCGCCAAAACGACAATCGATTTGATTCCCCTATTGACCCCTCGTTCTCTGCAAAACTCCGACAAGCGGCACCTTTTGTCCGCGGCCGTCGGACTATCATCGGACGCGGCAGCCATTGCTCTTTATGCCGGCAAAGGGCCTACTGCTGCTGTCGAACTGCTAGAAACCGGTCGTGGCGTCATCGCCGGAGCCCTTTTTGAGCAATCCGACCTTGGCGCTCTCGAACGCGCACACCCCGACTTGGCGCGCTCTTTCGTCGACCTTCGAGATCAGCTGGATACACCACCCCAGGGACACTCCCTTACTACAGCTGAGCACCGCACTGTGGCTGCTGAAACAGAAGGCGGTCGGCGCCGCGAGGCAGGTCCTCGGCTCGCCGGTCTGCTCGACACAATCCGTTCCAAGCCGGGTTTTAAACGATTCCTCCTTTCGGCGTCGGAAGCCGACATACTGGACGCCGCGCGACAAGGCCCGATCGTCGTCCTGAATGTGAGCTCGTATCGCTGCGATGCTTTGGCCATTGAGCAGTCCGGCATCCGATTGCTGGAGCTGCCACACGTCTCCCGAGACGCTATTAACGAACACGCTCGGGAACTCAAAACTCTCGCTACGCTTGGGTGGCTTTGGGATGCCATCGTCTGTCCCGTTCTTGAGTCTCTAGGCTTTACTGGGCCTCCATCGGACAGTCAGTGGCCGCACGTATGGTGGGTTCCTACCGGTACATTGACCCGGTTTCCACTCCATGCAGCGGGATACCATCTGAGACGCACCGGCGAAACGGCGGTCGACAGGGTCGTTTCATCGTACGCCTCCTCCGTGAAGGCGATCATATACAGTCGGCGACGGCCACACCAAGCAGCAGCGGCCGAAGACTCTCGAAAGGCCGTCGTCGTTGTCATGCAGAACACGCCAAAACAGCAACGACTCGAATATGCAAGCGACGAAGCTAATGCGGTGGTAGCTGTTTGCAAGTCGATGGGATTGCCTTACGACCGTCCCCGACCGTGCAAAATCGACGTCTTTTCGGCTTTGGAGACATGTAGGATATTCCACTTTGCCGGGCACGGCAGCACGCATCCTACGGAACCGCTGCAAAGCCAACTGCTCTTCGATGATTGGGATTCGGAGCCATTTACGGTGGGGAATCTTTTGGAGACCAACCTTACGTCGAAGCCGCCATTCCTCGCCTACCTTTCAGCGTGCGGGACTGGCCAAATCCTGGATGAAAGTTCTGTTGACGAGAGCATCCATCTGGCCAACGCCTGCCAGCTGGCGGGGTTCCGGCACGTGGTGGGCACGCTTTGGAGCGTGAATGACAGGCTGTGTGTGGATATGGCCAGGACGGTATACGAGTATTTGCGAAATAAGGGGATGGGAGATGAAGCCGTAAGCCGAGGGCTTCACCGGGCGATGAGAATGCTCCGAGACCAGTGGGTAGACGAGGAGGAACCAGGGGGTGAAAGGTCATGGTTGTCGGAAGCGGCAAGGGACGCTGAAGTAAGCCACGGGTCGGAGACGAAGCGGCCGCTCTGGGTTCCTTATGTTCATTTTGGGATTTGACATTGGAGTTACACAATGCTTGCCTTTTTGTTCCCGCACATGTTATTTTCGGTTTAAAGCTACAATGTACTTTCAGCTAAAAATATTCCCTTGTGATGTAAGCTGGTGAGCTTGTATGATATCAGAACGGAAAGTGGCGAGGTTGGAGCCAGGGTGCCCTACGGCATAACGCTTGGGCTCCGATAGGCCGACTCGACGTGGTCGGCGCCGGCTTTCCAGGCGATAAGCGCGTGAAAGACGGGATTTTTGGTGAAGAGCCAAAACATGGGGTGTAGAAGACTGGCTTGCCTAGCTAGACGCGCCTCGCAACAGTCATCGGGGGGAGACGAGGAAAAGGAGGTGAGAACTAAATTTGAGGACTTTGGTAGAACTCCCAGCGGACTCGCTGCAAATTCAGAAACTGCTCGGTCTATCTCCACCGGCTAGTTATACCTCGGCAGGCTGGGAGTCGTCGTTTTATTTGATGTCTTTCAGGTGGTCGAGTACCTCCAGGCCCTACCCATTGGAGGACATGCGCCCTCCAGCTCCCTCCAAGGACTACGCCAGTGCATTAAAGGTGACGGCATCGACCACAATAGCATAACGTGGTTCACCACCGAGTGGATCAAACCACCGAGTGGATCACCCGTAAACACATACAAAGATCGTCCGTGCACGACCGTGCACTTCGGCCAATTTATAATAGATTTTCTTAAAAATTTATACAGTTATATTCAACATTATAACAATTATAAAAATGATTTTTCCGGATTTTTATTAAAATTCCTTTTAGGTTAATTTGTAGTACTGTGTAACACACTGTGTACAACATGCAAATTAACCTAAAAGGAGTAATATTAAAAATCGTAAAAAAAAAATTTACGTAAGAAATATGCTTAATAATAACGGATTAAATTTTTATAAAATTTTGTATTAAATTGAACAAAGTGCACTGACATTTTCTGTATGTATTTGCGGGTGATCCACACGGTGGTTTGATCCACTCGGTGGTGAACCACGTTAACCATTTAACAATTACCGACGCCCATCTCATCCTCACGCCATAATTAGCCGAACCATTTCCATGTGCTAGAGCAAGGGCGTCTCCATGTGCACAAATATTTATTGCGCAACAAGCAGATTGTCGATAAAGGATTCGTGCTACTGTCGTTCGCCCGCCTTCCGCCCGTCCGGCCCCTAATGGGCCGATGATGCACCAAATGTGGGCGCCGCGGCTTTCTGCCGGCGGAACACGTCCAGCAAGCTCGCCGTGCGCCATGCTTGTTCCCGAATCCCTTAACATATGGGAGTGGTAGCTACCCGTGGTCCGACGACTTTCCTTTTTTTCTGTATATCCTGCGTTGCCTTGCTGGGTTCTGTCGTGCTTTGTCGGCGGTGTGGTCTCTGCCCCTTCTTTCGGTCCGGCAGTCGCCATGGGCGGCTAGTAACCTCCCTTGGTGCCTTGTCGACGGTTGTCCCTCCCAACGGTCTCAGTCGTACCGCCTTCTTCTGCGTCTTATTGTTTCTCTTCTCTTGCAGCCTCCTTTCAACTTCCTGGCCTCGTTGCTCGGGTGGACGACTCGGTGCGATGCATGGGAATGGAAATGCCTCGGAAAAACCGCCGGGCATCGGGGGATGCAGCATTGGTAGCTTTGCGGGTTACGACCCCAACGGTGCCGGTTTCAACATACGGGTATTGTAGAACATAAAAGGTGACCAGGCTTAATTAAAGGTTATTGCGCTCCGCTGGCGTTTCTACTTGACGAGAAGGATTCTTGGCTCTCGCCACCCACTGCATATCCACGTTGTCTTCGACCCCCCACTCCTCGCTCCTTTTCGACATTAGGGAAGCGGTCACAGCCTGGGCCGGAAGTCGTCCTAGGGCTTTAGTAAGGTGATAGAAGCATGATTCGTATTCGGGCGGCTTAGACGGATGGGTATGGGGCTCGCGTTGGACCGGACTTAGTGGCGTGTTAGCGCCCTCGCCGGTGTCTGCTGCAATCCATCTCACATCATTTCTATGC